ACCAATTGTTAGACCCTAGAGGGGGGGGGGGTGATTAGGGTCTTATGCTAATCTAATCCCAATAAAATCCTAATTAAAATTATATAGATCAATATGTTCTTGCAAGAGATAGATATGAACAATAAGAACAATAAGAATATGCACAAATAAAATATAAACCAAGCAAAACACAAACACACGATATGTTTACGAGGTTCGGTCACCACGACCTACGTCCCCGCTCCTCACCTCGAGGAGATATCCACTATCACAATCCGGTTTGGAAGCCGGAACTTCTACACACTCGGTTTACAAGTTCACCGAAAACTCTCACACTACACAATCACTCAACAATCACACTTTACACACTAAGTGTAGGAATCTAGCCCGTGTCCTCCTCCTCAAGTGTTTCGGTCGACCGAAAATTCTCTCGGTCGACCGGTGCGGTCGACCGGAAGGCTCTCTGGAACTATGCTATGAAAAAGAACAACTGTCGGTCGACCGTACCGGTCGACCGAAATCTGATATATGCAAAATTGACAGGTTTTGGGCAGTTTTGAAATTTCGTTAAAAATATCAAATCACATCCAAAAATAGTGAAACTTTGGGAAAAGTTTCTAAATGATGAAATAAACATTTCTAGAAAATCAATTTTTGTTTGTGAAAACTACCTGTTTTTGAAGAATGCTTAGAAAACCTGTAATTTTTATGAAAGTGAACTTTGATATAGGACTTGTAAATATTCATATATATATTGTGCATATAATATATGTATATAGTGAAGTATGGAGGAGCTGTAAACATGAGATAAAGTATTTTAACAACGTTTAATGAAAAATCATCTATATGATAGAAAACGTCAAAAAATCGTGTTAAGTGTATATATATTGAGCTTAGATATAATCATACTATATATGTAAGTAAACTAAACATATACCTAGGTAGATCCACGCAAATGAACTTGAATCTTTAACGCTTGATTAACGCGTGTTGAAATACCTGAAAAAAAGAACATAAACACAAAACACTAGAAAACTTATTAGTAATAAATTGTTTGTCAAATCATCATCAAAACTATAGGGTCAACAATTTATTAATATAAAAAAATCTTTTCATATCATGCAAGGATCCCTAGGCAAATATGAGTGTCTAAAAAGTTTGGTGGATAACTTTTTACTATCCACTTAAGTTGACACAAGGTTTGCTAGTTTGGTGGATAACTTTTTACTATCCACTTAAGTTGACACAAGTTTTGCTATATATATATATATATTCAATTCTTTTCATGCATATATCCTTTTTTTGTAAATTGTTTGTCATCATCAAAAAGGGGGAGATTGTTGGCCTTCTTGTTTTGATGATGTTTAACAAACAATTTATTACTAATGTTGTTTGTCTAGTGTTTGTGCATTCCTATGTTTTGTAGACAAACAACGTAGTTGGAGGATGGATGGAATAGAGCTTCAACGATCATATCCAAAGGAGGTTGGCGGAATGTCGGTGAAGCTTATGCAATTCAAGTTAAAGATCGAGTTCAAGCTTCATCCGCAAATATATCAAGTCAAGCCTATTGAAGATCAAGATCAAGCTTTGGTATATTTAGTTTAGGTTTTATATTATGTGTGTTAGATACTCTAAGCTCAATATCATATACACACACGTATTTGGTTTCTAAGCTCAAATATTGTATTCTCAGTTTATAGACTTAACAATCATCATATACATATTTTATCAAGTCTATATAATCATTGTGCAAAGTTTCAAAACATTGTTTATGTCAAAACATCAAACTTCATGTATATCACTTTTTTCATGTTTTGAACACTTTTGCAAAATAATGAGATTTCACAATTGGGAAATGCAAATTGGAAAATTCTTTTTGTAACATGTTCAAAATATCATTTTCAAACATTTCTCAAAGTTTCATCAAGTTTGGAATTGATTTGTTATGTTTAAAGGAATTTACAAATTCACGTTTTCGTTCGTGCACATGTTCGTGCATGTTTTACAAAACTGATGAGTTTTCGAAAATGGGAAGTGATATTTGAAAAATTCTTTCTCTGACATGTTTATCTACATGTTTAGAAAATTTTCTCCAGTTTTTACTATTTTTGGAGTTGATTTACTGTGCCAATTAATTTTACAAAATCGTATATGTTAACAGTTTTTTTAGAAACTGTAAATTTGTGTTCAAATATTTATTTCTCTCAACTGGGAAAAGATTTTTCAGAAATTCTTTCTCTGACATGTTATTCTACATGTCTAGAACATTCCCACAAATTTCATAATGTTTGGAGTTCATTTACTATTTTAAATTGATTTTATAAAACAGCTGCGCACTGCTAGAGTAACTCCGGCCGACCGGACCGGTCGACCGGAAATGTTTCTGGAACTTTTTCAGGTTTGTACAGTGCGAGCGGTCGACCGAAAAAAGGTCGGTCGACCGCCTAGCTCCCAGAATGCCCATAATGACTATTTTTTTTGTATCCGTTGGAGGGGATTTTGGTCTTTTGGTTTGGGCTTTTGTTTGAGGTATTGGGAGGCTATAAATACCCCCTTATACCTCAGTTTTAAAAAATCTAAGAGAATGTTTTAGAAAGAGTTTAACAAGGGTTTAAACTTGTTTAAGTGTTGTTTAAGTTTGTTTAAGAAGCTTTTAAGCATTTGAGTGTTTGGGTTTGTGAAATTAACTTCACAAGAGCTTGAGGAGTTCTTCTATTGGTGCTTGAGCATTCAACCTTTCCTCCTTCAATCTCTTGATCTACTTGAGAAGTCTTCTAAACTCTATTTCTAGCTCTTTTTTTATATATTTGATTATTATTGTTATTAAGCTAGAATTATATTGAGTTTAGTTTTGATTTATTTAAACTCATTATTACACACACCCACATTGAGCTTTTAGTATTTACATACATAGTATAGTTGGGTGGTGAGAGATTGTAACTTTGAGTTGTGCTAAATTGAGTTCTCACCTGTATTAGAGAACAAATCATTTGTTGTTACATTGTGAGTGTTGTAGAGTTTTCGGTTAGCTAGAAAACCGTATTGTGAGGGTGGAGTGGAGATCTCCTCGAGGTGAGGAGCGGAGACGTAGGTCGTGGGGACCGAACTCCGTGAGAGAAATTGTGAGGTGTAAACGTTATTCGGGTGAGCGTAGAAAACCCGGTTGTGATAGTGGAATTCTCCCCGGGAGTGAAGAGCGGAGACGTAGGACGGAAGGTCCGAACTCCGTGATCATATCGTGTGTTTGAGTTTGTCATTGGCGTTCTTTTTCATTCATGCCTATTGTTTATATCGCCTTTGTCATTTGCTCTTAGTTCATTTTATCCACTATCTTGTTTATCTTGTTTATGTTTGTATCACCCTTAGTTACATATCCCGTGCATTAACTCATCAGTATATCCATTGCTAGGATATTATCCCTGTTCATATTGTTATCCTAGTACATAATTATTGTATTTCTACTTGCTAGGATAACTTGTTATTAGTTTTAATTGGGCATATAATCGGATTAACGATAGATAAGCCCTAATCACCCCCTCTAGGGTCTAACATAATATATATTATATATATATATATATATATAATATATATATAATAGGTTATTTCTATATATAATCAAATTATATATTATGACTTATATTATCCATATAATGACTATATGATATATAGGTTATATTGGGTCTATCGCTTTCAACTAACAGAGAGAGGCATATTCTCTCTTCCTTACGCCTCCCTAATGAATTACATGATTGAGCGACATTATGGATGATTCCGCTCCGGTATTGAAACGGTTGATTATACATAATTTCTAAAACCCCAAACACACACGCAAGTTTGGGCGTTGAAAACCGACCCCGTCGTTGACCGAATCCATCGGAGCCATGATACAAAAGTCCTATTCATTCAACAACCGCTTAAAATTAGATAAAGGTGGAGAATGGATCAAACGACGACGGGTTCACCCCAAACTTTGGCTGTGTTGGGGTTTTAGAATATGATTAGATCAAGTTCACGGAGCCGGATCATCCACATGTCGCTCAACATGTGATTTTACGAGGCTTTCGTCAAGCGAGGAAAATCCCCTCCTATGACAAGGATACCCATAATCTCTCTCTCTCTCTCTCTCTCTCTCTCTCTCTATATTATATATATATATATATATATATATATATATATATATATATATATATATATATATATATATATATATATATATATATATATATGCATGGACCCTTATATATATAAAGTTTCTTCATATCTTGCATGGATCATTAGGTATCATAAATGGATAGAAAGTTATAATATTAAAACTCCCAAACAAGCAGAATTAAGTTTATTTCGGTTCTTTTTAGTAAACTCCCAAACAATATTTTATCATTCCCCTCTCCTTAATCATTCCCCTTGAGCTATATTGATTTCCTCGACGAAGAAAAGTTCTAACGTTTTCATGGGCATCGTCATTATTTTATTGGGGTTTTTTGGTAGTAGTCCCTTACATCTTTCATATTTTTAATTAGTCCCTCAATCATTAATGTTGCTATTGGATCCCTTAATTCTTAAGTTATTTTGAAATTAGTCCCTTGTATCGATGAATTTCCATTAGGTCTCCTAATTCTTAAGTTATTTTGAAATTATTCACTCAAATCAACAGTATAGTTATCAATTAAAATGATTAATTTGAAGCAAAATTTTGGGACCTATGGAATATAACGAAAATGTTGACAATTTGAGAGACTAATTTCCTTCAAATTGGTAGTTCTGCTCTTGGTTAAGGAATTAATTTCATAATAAATTAAGAATTGGAGACTTTAATAGCAATTTCGATGAAGTGAGGAATTAATTTAAAATTACGGAAGATGTAAGGGACTAATATTGAAAAACTCTCTTTCTAAATTGACATTGAGGTTTTAATTTAAAATTACGGAAGATTTGAGGGACTAACATTGAAAAGCTCTCTTTCTATAAATTTTCTAGATCTAGACTGCTTGATATTTACGCGCATCCGGGTTTCGGGTCCAACCCGTCTAGCCTTTTAATTCCGATAGCAGAGAGTCGATGGACCTCCTCTTCCAATTGCCCCAAAACCCTAATCCGCGCTCCACTGCTCTCACCGTCGAGTTGATCGCCGACGAAGCAATCGCTGAAGAAGAGTTCATCACCGACGCCGTAGACGGCTTCATCGCCCTTTCTCTATTTCGTTGAAGCACTGAAGGTATTTCTTCTGAGCTGTAAAAATTTGTGTTTTTTAGAACAAATTTCCAGAAAGTTCTTGACGAGGTCGAAGTAAGAGGAGAAAACCTTGAAAAATCCCCAAACTGACTAGAATAATTTCAATGTTTATAGATTTCAATTGGTTTTTTTAGAGAAAATTTCTAGTTTAATTTTTGATAATTGAACGCTCGTGAAGGATTGATCATCATGCCTAAGATCAAGACGAGCCGGGTCAAATTTCCTGAGGGATGGGAGCTCATCGAGCCTACACTTCGAGAGCTGGAGGCAAAGATGAGAGAAGGTTTGTGTTGTTTCCCTCAGTCTTAATTTAATTTAGTAAGGACTATTTTTTTTTCGTTAGAAAAGATTATTGTTTGCTTCTAACCCATATGATGACAAATGAAATTGTTAATTGGCAGCTGAAAATGATCCACATGATGGGAAGAGAAAGTGCGAAGCGCTGTGGCCGATATTTCAAATTTCACATCAGAAGAGCCGATACATATATGATTTATACTATCGGAGGAAGGAAATCTCGAAGGAGCTGTATGAATTCTGTTTGGATCAGGGATATGCTGACAAGAACTTGATTGCAAAGTGGAAAAAGGTATGTTTTTTGCACCGTTCTTGTTTTATAATAATAATATATTGTTTCATGGTGTTTGGTTCACAAGGGTGCTTTACATGTATAGTTTCAAAATTCAGATATGATATTAAGATTTCATGTGTGTTTCTTTAAGGAGAATATTTAATCATATATAATTTGCTTGAAAGTTTATTTATAAATAGAAAACTGAGGGTTAAATAATGTTGATCACAAATTTTAATGATGGTATATCCAAATTGAAGCCTTAATATTTATTTTAGGCATCCCCTATAAAGAGTAGACTATTGCCTTTGAGATGAAAGCATCGAAGAATTTTTACGTGGCATGCTCTTACCTAATGTTAATCATCTTTGTTGGGGCTTTTTGTTCAATGTTGGTACCATTGGATGCATATACTCCATTTCTGTTCGTTTTTTACGATAGGAACTGTTAGGCTGATGTAAATAAGTTTCTCTTATAACTTGACTTGAGGGTGATAAAATATGTCATGAGCCACTCTAAAAGTTGGTCAAATTTATACTCAAATATGTGATCTGTTTTTTTCGTCTTTATAATATGTAGTGCAGTTACTTAGTTTCTATGGGTTCATCATCTTTCAGTCTTTACGTTCTGATTTCCTTTTTGCTCTACTTTTTTGAACTTCTGCAGCCAGGTTACGAGCGCCTTTGCTGCCTTCGTTGCATTCAACCAAGGGACCACAACTTTGGGACTACATGCGTCTGTAGGGTTCCCAAACACCTGAGAGAAGAAAAGGTCATAGAATGTGTCCATTGTGGTTGCAGGGGTTGTGCAAGTGGAGACTGAAATCTCTTGCGTGGTGGATGCCAACATCGAATGTCGGGCATTGACATGCAATCATGTCTGGAAAAATTCTCTTTGCCTATGCATTTGAAATGAAAACCTTGTATTACTGTTTAATCTGTGATATATTAGCAGGAAGAGAACGGTGTTAATAACTTGAAGGTATCTTGTTGAGACTCAAGGGTGGCAGTTCCCAGTAGTATCTTTAGGTTATGGAATGAACAAATTGTCATAGTAGTGGAACTGTGTTGTTGCATTGATTCTAGCTTTATTGGATGTATTCTAATTTGGTTGTTACTCTAATTTAGTTGTTCATCAAAAGAGATTTATTATATGTCCACCCTGTGTTATGTTATATTTATTATTTGACATGCTTCCTGTCATAAAATTTGTTATCTCTTGATTTTTCTCTTGCTTATATTTCTGAAGTTGTTTTAGATTGCTTCTCATGTCATATTTCTCCTACTTTTTTGAATCAAATTCGTGACACTGTTGCAGGTTATAAACATACGACCGGTATGGTAGTTTATTGCACTACAAGGTATGAGCCCTGTAACTATTTTTAAACTGCAAACTTAAATTGGGGATCATCTCCTAACCATATGTTTGATTATTATATGATTTTGGTCATGAGTTCATGCACCTTAGTTAAAGGTCAATCTCGTACTTCGGAAAAAAGAAAAGAAAAAAAGATCTCTGTGTAACTTTTGAGTTTGTTACTTAATATGGCTAACAGACTGGAAATTTGGTAGTTCTAAGAGTATCTCCAACAGCTTCTCTAAAATTTTTTCAAAATGGGGAAGCAAAAGTCATATTTTCTAAATTATTTTTACACCAACTCCAACAACTTTCCCATTTTGAAGAATCTCTTTTTTCCTCCAAAAATTTGGAGAATGCTGCATATTTAGGGAAGCTTCCTAATTTTTTCTCCTCCATCCCTATTTTGAGGAATGAAATGAGGAATCCGTTGGACCAAAAATCTAACTATATTCTCTAAAAATGAGAAATGAGGAAGCTGTTGGAGATGCTCTGAGGTTCTGAGGCAACTTCTGCTAGAGGCGAAACGATCACCTTTTGAACATATCTGTGCATGATTTGATTCATCAATGTAAAATGATTTGATTCATCAATGTAAATGAAAAGGAAGATGGTTTTTAAACTGTTTTCCCAGGATTATAGTCTAGTCTCCAGTAGGTCTTTCTGCTTGTAAGAAATTGGTTCAGAGCAGTTAGTGGAGAAATATTAATGCAATCTGAACACTGCCAAATGCCGATACTTTAATGAAAAGGAAAAATTCTCATCATCGCGACCTCTCGATTTCTTTAATTCGCTCTCCTTTCCTCTCCTCTACACATAAAGCACCACCACTATGATCACTACCCTTCGCCCTCCACGAAACCCTAACCCTAGAATTCACCACCAGGATGCCCCTCCCGCTTTCCTCCGACGACATCATCGGATCCACCAGCAGCCGCCGGGGCTGGTCTCGCGGCATGCTTCCACGCACGGCCACCGACGTTTTCAGGCGATATTCCGACGACGACGATGAGGAGGAGGGGAATCTCAAGTGGGCGGTGCTCGAGAAGCTGCCAACCTATGATCGGATGCGAAAGGGGAATTTGAGAAAGGAGGTTGAGAATGGAAAGATTGGGAGTGTTGAGATTGATTCACAGAATCCTGGAGTTAGCGAGAGGAAGCTGCTTGTTGAGAAGATTTTGAAAGTAGTTGAAGTGGACAATGAGCACTTTCTTCCCCGGCTTAAGAGTCGAATTGATCAGTTTAGTACGTTTTGGATTTATTATTATGAATTTTCTTTGGCTCTAATGTGACTTGGAGATTTTGAAAGTAGTTGAAGTGGACAATGAGCAGTTTCTTCGCCGGCTTAAGAGTCGAATTGATCAGTTTAGTGCATATTGGATTTATTATTATGAATTTTCTTTGGCTCTAATGTGACTTGGTTTTGGTTGTGTTTGTTTGGAATTAGAGCGGGACCCGAGCTTCCAATGGTTGAGGTGAGGTTCGAGGATTTGTGTGTAGAGGCTGATGCTTGTGTTACAGAACGCCACATTGAATATCATAAAGGTAATTTTCCTTTACTTGAATTTTGAGAAAAAGTTGGTTTTTAGGGTTTTTGAGATATTGGTCCCCCAAATCTCTTCTATTTTGAAGGAAGGCCCCCAAAACCTGATTTTTTAGTATAAGTTCCCGAATCCTGAAAACCCATTAGTTACACCTAATTAGTTCCTGTAGTTTAAATCGTTAGTTTAATCTCGACTGCTAATTTGATAACAAGGATGGAACCTCAAAAGTGTGAGTCCCTACTCCTAATTTGTGGCTTTAGTCTAAATCTATTAGTTCAATCCCAAATGAAAGTACAACAAGCAGTTTTTCTGTTTTCATGTCATACACCTGTTTTCAATCCCCACTTCTAACGGTCATAAGAGCACAATGCTTCTTCTGAACCCATCAAAACCGCCCACGTTATGTTATAAACTCTATGCACATTTTATGCCCAATGTACTAATTTTGCTAAGTTGATTAAGTTTAGGTGGGAAGTTTATTATTATTTCTTCTTCTTTCATTGGTGATGTTTATTGTTTATAGGCAGCGTTCTGTTTCACTGGGGCTTTCTCCATCCAAGAAAAAGGTCGATAAGATACTTAAATGTGTTAGTGGAATCCTAAAGCCATCGAGATGT